GACTATAAATATAGCGACTATAGTTAGCTTGCGCCTAAATCAACACACTGAATGGGAAATTCAATTGCACTCGGGTTATTCGCGAAAGAGAATATCGATTAAGAGAATCAGGCTGATTGATTATTTAACTTTATTGGTATATATTGTATATAATAAAATTGTGCTTATGTATGTAGAGCATAATAAAGCAGATTAAGTATAAAGTAATAAAGCTCCAGTAAGCCAAGAAGAAGAAAGTGATTTATATATACTTTGCACTACGTATAACTCATGTCAGCTCCTCATAGATAAGCAACAATTATATCTTAAAATTATTGTCATGTTAGAAAATTAACGTGAGGACATAAATCAAATGATTATTGAATAATAATTGCTGTTCAATTGAGCAGTGCAGAAACTGAGACCAGTAAAAATAAAAATATCCTCTAAGGCCTCGTATATCTATGGATAATATCAAAAAAGGAGATTATACTGGGTAACAAAGGTTCTATTCACCTGCCCGGTGGATCAATGTGGATTTTTTTGTTTGCAAAAAGGTCAGTAATTTTGAAATAAATACTTGCACCGCAATTGTATCGTGTTTTAAAACTTCAGAGATTACGATCAAACTTAAATTTTTAATTATACCTGATTCTGAATAATAAATGCAAAAAGGATGAATAGTAGCTTGTTGATTATTCCAGTAACTACTTTGGGCAGCATCTTGAAGAACAAATGAATAATTTTCGGAAAAATCACAAATAATGACAACTTCTCCATTTTTAAGAGTATTTTTTGTATTTCTCAAGAAACTAGACTGCTGAGTTTTAATATAATCATGCGATACCAGTTTTTCCAACTTTTCGCAAAAATAAGAAACAAATCCATCTACTGGTTTTACAAGTTTCTCTAAACTACATCGATCAGTTGAAACCCATTGTTCAAAACATATTTCAGACATACCCTGTTCCTCGAATTTTTCTGAAAAACTTCTTTCAAAATCTGAGAGACCTGGACAACGTTCGCATTCGCGGAGATAACAATGTTTAGTTCTGGATGATGAGCTGCATAATATTTCTTCAAAATAATGGTTGAAATCTTTTTCGAATGAATATTTTCTAAGACAATGAAGCATTAAATTAATTGGTTTCATGGATGGCACAAACACAAATATTGTGAGAACCTGAACTACCAAGTAATTTGCAATGCTTTGGTTTTAGTGCTGCAAATGAACTAAATCCAATGCTATTTTTACTAACTTCCTGAAATTTAATAAAAGCTTCTTGCAATGTACAAACTAAAAGTCGCTTTTGAATATGAATCTTCTTACCTTCCTTCTTCACTGAAACGTAATCGTTTAGCACTGGCGTGGCTCTGCTTATCTGGTCGGTTTCGAAGAACTGCAATACCTCGTTTTTAATTTCGGGATCCAAACCGTGTCCTAACCTTTCGTTGGGGGTGGCCAATACTCCTTTCCCTTTTGCCAAGCATTGAGCTTGCAATACAATGTATTTATTTTTTCAAACTCGTCCATTACCGTTTGCGTTGACCAAGATTTCGGAAAAATCGTCAGAATCCTTATTCGATCGTCTCTCGATGAACCTGGATCAGCAAATCTTTCCTTCAGTTGTCCGATCATCTCATTGTGTTCCGCAGCTTTCAATTTTAGTTGCTCCAGGTCATCTTCTTCCGCTTGAAAACCGAAGATGCGTTTCTTAATGCCATTGGTAATGTCCATATACTTTCTCCGGGGATAGTTAACATTCTGGAATTTTTTTTGTCGATATTGGCGATACGTTGATACATACCAGCTATGCCCTTGTTGAATAGCTCAATATTATGCGTCCTGGAAAATTGTTGCTCTTCACTGTCCTGAGATGATGCTGTTGTTATTGACGTAGTTGATGGTATTTCTTCGAAGCCATGTCGAGATGTAGATGGCTACGGCTCCGCGATGTCCATGACTGACGGTTGCACTTCTAGTTCCAGATTTTCAGCACATGGTTCGATTCTATTTAAATTCAAGCAACACGTATCACAGATTGATAGAGATGTATCCAAATTAAATTTCCACTCTAGGAACTTATGTATTTCAATCAAATTTTCGGATAATTTACGAAGCTTTGACGAACACCGTTTGTTAGGAAACGGCTTGCAACACTCGACCTTCTTGAATTCCATATTCAAATTATACTTGTTCACTCAAAAAGATTTTTTAGTGATGTCTGTTTTCAAAAGGATGGTCATGCTTATATACAAACGTAGGTACCATTTGGATATTCAGGTATAAATATTGTTTTGGTATTTAAGCTACTCTAACAGAGAAGCTCTTTTTTTCATGAAAAATACCATGGAAGACATTATAATGTACCTAAAATAATAAGATGAATAGGTACATCAATATTAACAACTTAAATAGGATGAAACTACGCTTGATAATGAAAATAAGTGCAACTTAACTTGTGTTGGTTTCTATATTTAAAATAATAGTATTTTCATTTCCCCTGTAAATTCTAAACGGGTTGTCTGATCGTTCAATCCTCAAAAGACAAATTGAAGGTAAATATATGTGTATCTTGCTAAACCTATCAATGCTGATGGAGAATCACGATTAACTTATGAAAATGGCTTATTTTCTACAAAAAATTGATTTTGATGAAAGTAAATTTGAATATCTCGAAAACGGTTATATTTAGGAAGTTTATCAATATGAGCACTATCGTTTGAAATGATTTTTATAATCATATACTAACATCAAACTGAACATTTTGCCGTAAATAATGAAATTTTCAAGAATGCTTCAAAAGTTGCTTTTAGAAAAACTTTTTTATTGAAAGTTTGTCCATCCTAGAGTTGTTTTCAAAACTTCTGCTTTCTATTCAAGTTTTTATAAAAAATATAAAAAAAAATCAAAAATACATTTTTATTGTTATTTGAATTTTGAGGTTTATTTTTAATTTTTTTTTTGTAAAAAAAACGAAAAAAAAATTCCGTTTTTTTTTTATAAAGTCTTATTAGTTTCCTACAACTCCTTCTTAGTAAATTTTTTTCTACAACCAACTGTTTTCGAACTACATTTTTTTTTAAGTATGTGTGCAAAAACACATAGGCCCTTTTCAAAGATTACCCTTGAGTCGAAAGGGTCTCCTCTCCTGCGGAAAATACCGAGGGGGGCGACACATCTAAATCTCAATTCTAGATGCTCAAAAAATCTCACACTAGCGAAACAATCTTCGAAAAATCATCTTTCATTTCTCGCATCTACTTGCATCGTGCTTCATCTTTTTGCAGGAAATCTTCAAAATCGACATAAATCTTCCTTCTATCTACTCAGCGTGCGTGCAGCTAGCCACAGCAAAACACAATCTTTTCTGCATCGTAGATAGAGTCGTCCCCCTCGGAAAATACTTGGTCTATCATACTGAAAATATGGGCAAATTATCTTCCAAATCGAAGATATGGATGATACTTTGCACGATTTCAGGTTTTTTTCAGCTCATTCTGGATGGAATCCCTTAGTACCCTATATTTCTCACAACCCCTGTACATGGGGTCGGATTCTCTAGAACGTGCAAATTCAATCTGTGATCTAAGTATTACGATCGATTTAAAGCTAAGGTTTAACGAACACATAAACATCGTAACTGGTGAAGCATATACCACAGACAAACATATACTGTGCTTGATTTTATTCGTCGTCATGCTTCTGGTTTCATCGATGTTTATTGTCTCAAGACGCTGTTCTGCTCGCTGGTTCGCAGCATTTTAGAATATGCTTTCCCGGTTTGGTCTCCATTTTACGCTACGCATATCCTTGCGGTTGAAATTCAGAAAAGTTTTATGGAATGATCCAGCCAATCTTTCTAGCTATCTCCGATGCAAGCTGATTAATTTGGAATCCCTCTCTGCCAGGCGTCTTAAATTGCAACGACTGTTTATCTTCGACCTCATAACAGGCAACGTGGACTGTCCCGAACTCCTGGAACTGATTCCGTGGAATACTCCTCCTCGACGATTCCGTAATTCCCCGTTACTTGCAATCCCATTTCACAGAACGAACTTTGGATTCAATTTTTGATTTAATTCTTGTTTGCGTTCCTTTAATGATGTTTGTAGCGAGTTTGATTTTATTTTGACCAAACGTTTGTTTAGTGCTAGAATAAGGGGTTTAGATTATTAGAAATTATGTTTTAAGTAATCAGTCTGTACGACGTAGTCGAAGATGATGAGCAAGTAACCATAGGCACGTTATTATGCCTTTTTGGCTATATACGCGCCTCATCAGAACTTACAAACACGGGTATAGCCGTTGTTCAGCTGTATATCGGCAAAAAGGCAAAATAACGTGCCTATGGCTACTTTGGAAAGCACATGATTCCATGCTTATCCCAGTAAAAAAGCCCCCGTCTACGGAAACAACTTACAGGAATTCAAATTCTCATCCCTAATTGTCATCCGCATCACCTATCTAAAAGAGTTTGTCTGGAGTTCCACTCCGGTCTCAAAAAGTACTCCCTCAACCGTCGTATTCTCATGTCATGCATGCTTGAGATCCTGGCTCAAGCCAGTAAAGTCCTCTCGAATTTATCCCAAACGAATTCCATTCGCAATCAAGCCCAGATAACCCACCCGAGCATGTCCTAAGGAACTACTGATAGGCCTTATGTTCTGATTCAGAGATCTTATAACAGTTTTGACATTATGAGCTTGTCTTACATTTTTCGAATATTTGCTCTAGAGAAAAGTATTTTGTTAGACTTAAATGAAATGGATAGTTGAAGCAGGCTTCAACCATGAAGCCAGGAACAGATTTTTTGTTTAAGTTGATTTTCAAGCGAGTGGCCACATTGCCCCATTGGCCATATTGCCCACAACATTATTGTAGCTCATAATGCAGACGGATTAGGGATGTAAAATCTTTCCCATCTTACTTACCGCTGATCGCAGTCCTCAATCGCCCATACCTCGAACAATGCAGTACCAATTAACACCCAGATCCGTTTCCCATTCTTTGCTTACAGAGGAAATAGCCCGACAGCAGCAGCAGAGTGCTTCACTCGATCCTCGCTACCTACAGAGTGGCGCTTTCGATTCCCTATCGTTCAACTCGGATGACTATCAGCATCCGCCCTCGCATCAGCAGTATCCATCCAACTACAATCATCATAATCACCATCATCACCGTCACCAGCCCCATCAACAGCAGTATCACAATAACGGTAACAATAGCAGCAGTAGCGCCGCCGCCATGGCAGTCTATTCCGGCGAGGGCGCCGGCGATGTCGAAAGTGGCCAACGGGAAAGCCACCGGAAGATGCGTAGCTTTTCGCTGTCGCCCAAGGTGAGCTCACGGCACGCGACCACTGTCTCCGCGGCGACGACATCGAACGCTGCCAGCAATTCCAAACGGTCACGGTCGCGGAAGCCCGTGTCCTGCATCTCGTGGCGAAAGTGGTCCCACTGTCGACAATCGTGAAATAGCGACGACGAGGAGGAGGAGGAAGAAGAAGAGGACGGAGAAGCGAGTTCCGCATGCGAGTGCTGATGATGCCATTTTGTTGATTATTTTGCTAGTGAACCGTAGGTACACCTACTCTTTGTTTTTAGTGATGGTAAAGAAAATCGTAGTGTATCGATCTTTTAAGTTTTAGTGGTAATCTTATTTTTTTTATATACAAAACGACGCTAGCAAAAGAGCGAACGCTCAGTGTATGCAAATTACGGATTAGTTTTGCAAAAAAGAAATACGTTTTGAAATCAGGTCAGACAAACTGAAATGCCTTGTTGTAGGGTTAATCACCACCGCACTCAGATAACCGGCTCATTTGGCTGGTCTTTCCGTTTAATGTATGAGAGAAAGTATAACATAACTGAAGGAACTTCCCATTTGCCGGGTTACATTTAAGAAAACATTCGATTGCTCCAGTTTTAGTTTCGAAGAATCAGATTGATATACGAAATTGAACTGTCTTTAAAAATACTGCTGGTAACATGTAGATGAAAGATGTTGGTAATTAAAGAATCAGTAAACCAAGCTCCTGGAATTGCGCTGCTGCCGTCTTGACCCAGAAAATTTCGAATGTGATCCTGTCAGTGACAAACTGTTTCACTGCTTGTCCATGCGGTAGACTAAATCGCGTAAAACTTCTGATCAGGTTGTGGAATTTTACTCATTTTACGTGAATAGATGCATAGATATTAACATCGACTTTCAGCACGTTTCGTTTATCAATCTGATTCACACAGTAAAGGCAAAATACGTAGTACGTACACCATTCGATTGATATACGTGTAAATATGCATATGTATGTAGCAAGCAGCGAGAATAACAAATTGAAAGAAGTATTACTTCACACGATCGTTCATCAGCACACACTATCAATCAATCATATTTACCCACTAATCGAGAGTGTTTTCATTCCGCGAGTTTTGCATTGCAAACTGTGTGTAACTATTTTATAATTTGAGAACAAAAATCGGAGAGTTCCTTTTTGAGAGAGAAAAAAATATAATATAAAAACATAAATTCTAGACCCCACAAATACACACACACACCAACCACTATGTAATTTATTGAGAACTAGTCACTGATAGAGTTTATGAAAAGGGATTTGAAGGCTACCCGAGGCCCGCCGAACAAGAATAAAAATGATAAACAACTAAAATCACACTCAAAATTGGTACAGTTGAGAACCAGTCTTCCTTGCCATAACATAATTAAAGAATAATACAAAAAAAAATATGTATCGAACATTGAAGAGAAGAAAAACCAACATAACTAAAAACCGAGCGGGCTGCAGGTGAAAAGAGGAACAACATTACAATAAAATACTATTTGATAAGATTTGAGATACACATATGTAAAAAAAAAAACAAGCATTAAAAGAGAAGAATCTAAGGTGTTTTATAGGTTATGTAATAAATGAGAAAGAAGAGAAGTGAGAGAGAGCGAGAAAAGTATATAAATTAACGAAAAATATAGGACAAATGAGCAAACAAACTAGATTTAAAGTTACTATATATATTGAAGAAGAAAACAAACGAAATTGCATGAGGAAACATAAACAGAGAATTGAAAAGAAAATAAAAATGAGTGAAAACGGTACATACGTGGAAAGTTTTGCTCTTCGATGAAAGAACCCTTATAATAAAATTTAAGCCTTCCCGCAATCTATTCCCGGAGAACTCAAAATATTAAACCATGACGTTCCATAAATAAATACTGGGTTTGCCATAGTGTGCTCAGGTTAGATAGCTGGCGTTGCCGATCGTCTGTCCACTTTCGCTGAAGTTTAGAACAGTGCTGTAGAATGGCGTCACGTGTCCTCGTCTCGATCTAGCTATCTCTAGATGTTTAGAAGCGAGTTTGACTTGCAGAAGACTTACCTCAACATCTACCTTCCCTAATAAAAATAACCATAAACGAACGATAACCGAAATCATTGAACTATTCCACAAATGGTTTGGATGATACCCAGAACACGTCGTTAAGCAAATTAACCATACAATTTTTATTAGGGTTGGCAACCAGATCTTGTACAGTCCCGTGTTGTTAGGTGATGTTCAATCTCTCTTGCGGGTTGACAGGATAGTGTCGTGACGCGGATTTTCCGGCCATCTTCATCGCGGAGAAAAACAGTACACGGCCGCAACCAGCGTTGCCAGGTCGTTTTCAGAAAAATCTGGAATGCTCCAAAAAATCCTGTTTTTAACATAATGCTATTGAAATCAAAGTTATGTGCCAATCTCCCGTAAAAATTGGTCAGTATGATCATCTGGAATTTATTTAAAGTAGGTACTAGAATCACCGACAAACCGACGTGACACTCGTTTTTGGACCGTAACCGAAAATATGTAACGGTCAATTTGAATGTCGAGTGATCGCAACTGTCAAATTGATAATGACGTTTGTTACAATGACGACGTTCGCGCAGCGGCCATCTTGATGAATCCTTTCACAAGCATAAACAAAACAACACCAGGCATCCACTGCACTACCGTGGAAAGTTTCCAAAATATTGACAATGGGCCGGTGTTGCAAAGTTTACAACTGTTTTAATAATAATGTGCGAAATATCAGCAAATCGTTTTACAAGTTTCCCTGCAACATTGAAACGTAAGTATTTGCCAGTGGACACTTTTCCAGCTGATATCAAAATATTTGCTCATTTTGGTTTGCTCTGCTTTGAAAGTTGCTGGAGCTGGGTGCAATTTTGCCAATCACCGGATCTGCATAAGTTGCTCCTAGAATCAGGAAGTATAGCCCTTCCTCAAAAAACTTAAGCCCTCCCTCACCCATCGACGGTAAAAATAAAATGTTTAAAAGGAAGGGAAAAGCACGTCATATGTGCTTACCACTAGGCGTCAAATCAAAATAAGGATATTCTTTTTGTAGCCAATAAGTTGGAAACCAATCAGTGAATAAAAATGCTAATGAGTATCACATGCCTGTTTATTTGTCTTACTTCTCAATCGTTCATATTTCCAACAGCAAACGTCCGTAATCTTCGACTCAAGCCAATTAGAGGATCTGCTTTCTTCTAAAACAACAAGAAAAATAAGTTGCTTAACAGTATATTGATTCTAGTAGCAAGTTCATGCATACCAATTCGTTGGTCGTCTGCTAGTCTCCTCCGTCGTACCGATCTAATCTGTGTCCTTCCTTCCGTAATTACAGTGGGTGGCACCGTCCACCCACCGGTATTTCTCCGATGTCCTTCAACCAAGAACGGAAGACGCCGGAAAAAAACTGGGCCTTATTATCTGTACAGTAACAATAACAATATCAACGATGAGGTATGAATCTGGGACGGGACTGGACAATCCAGCTTCTCACTCTTCTTAATGTTTTTGATGAATGCCCGTCGAAAATTAGTGCATGGTGTTTGACGGAATTGACCAATGATGCCAGGAATGCAGAATGATTCTTCTATTTTTATTTTTATTTTATTCGGAGTTTCTACCACAGTTTAGCACCTTGTACATCATTTTTACTTAACGCAATAAAAACAACCATAACGAACCACCTTTGCGTTCGGACGCGCTTTAGCAGCGCTCTTGTATATACATTTAAATATCCAAACAATTTTTTTATCATATTTTAAAAACTGACCCGCGCGAACTCCGTGTTTATTTTAAACGTTTTTTTTTTTTTTTTATCATCCGACGCGAGTGCAATGAAGTGTGGAATAGTGAATTGCGTGCAAAAAGACAATCGCTTTCTATGGCGCTGCCATGGCACCTGCAACCGGACCTTTCACGCAGGTTGTGTTGGTGCACAGCGAAATCATGAAGACATTCTTCGGACCTTCATGCTGCCTTTGTGCCAAGACTGCCAGGATAAGTTCATAAATGAACTTAATCTGAAGGAACTGTCTACAACATTGAATGGCATCAAAGAAAACATTGGCAATACTTTGGAAGCAAATCACAAATTGCTTACTAACTTCAAAAACCTCAGTGCGACGCATGACGCAGTGCTTGAACACATTGAAGAAATGCTTGACAATATTAAGCGTAGCATGTCGACCGTCACCAGCAGCAACAAACTTATTGCTGTTGAAATGAAAAATGCAATTTCATCAATTCTGGACACACCTTCGGCGGACACCTGCACAGTATAGTCGCTATATTCATAGTCTGGCGAATAGAATTTCGATCTATCAAAAAGCGGAACCATTTCAATATATTTTAGACCATCAATTGAAAAAGTACTATCAACTTTTATAAACAAAACGTTGATTATTCTTTCCTTGCCAATCGAACGCAAATTACCGGCATCATCGGATAGGGAAAACTTTCCCCAACCCAAAGATGGTGTTAGTTTGCGTAGGCGAGCCTTGAGTCACGAGAAAAGGGTTTCCGAAGTTTTGTTCGCAATAGCTGATGTGCTCTTTTCTGTTGTTGGTCGTGATTTGCTCGATTGGTTCCGCTATTTGACAGCTCAATTGGTTCCCTAGATTCTATCCGCCAGACTATGAATATAGCGACTATACTGCACAGCTGTAAAAGCGGCAGCCAAATCAGCGGCAACAGCAGCAGTAGCGGCAATAACAACAACAACAACGCACTCAATTAACCAACTACCTGCAATAATTTCCACACTCAAGAATGAGTTAGCGGACTCCCAAAGTACTCAATGTTACTAAATAAAATCTCACATGGAAGAAATGGCAAAATCTCTTTCAACACCAGCCGTCATCATTTCCAAGAATTACACAATTGACGAACCAGCCCCCAGCTGGCGAATCTTGGGAAATAAAAAAGTATGGAAGCGTGACTGGACAGAATATGACGCCAAGCAACATTCCCGCCGTCTCCAGGAAAAAAAAAACGAGGAAAAAGCCAGACTTAGGCGCAAAAAACGAGAAAAGAAACCAGGTAACAACCCCCACAACAATACCAACAAAAACAGCGGCAGTAACAACTACACTATTGGCAATTGCAACAATAACAACAACAACAACAACAACAACAACAACAACAACAACAGCAACAACAACAACTACAACAACAACAATAACAACAACAACAACAGCAATAACAACAACATCAACAACAACAGGACCCGAAGCAGCCATCTCTACAACAGCACTGCATTACCTTTGGATAAAGAACTTTTGGCTGCTGCACGAATACAATTTTCTCGGCCACCCAAAGAAAGCGGACTAAATTTCATTAATTTCGAAAAAGGGGAAACTATTAACCCTTATCGAACTGAAAAACCAACTGAGCGAGAACACCCTCCTCTTCTGGACCCCATGCGTCCGCCAATAGTGAGACTTACTGAACAGTCCGTAACTGGCGACCAACGCTTCCTGAAGGCGCGTCTAAGGGACCCGAAAATTATGGACATTGTTCGGACCTACCTCTCCTTCCTGCATGACCAGCCATCATCAACATGTATTCGCGGAATCACCAAAACCAGTGCTATTCTAATGCTAGCAGCTGAAGGACTACCAAAAGACAGAAATCTCCTGCACGAAATTTTCCTGGACGTCCATGAAGAACTTGGAATTACTCGAAACGACGCCTTGGCAGACCTGCAATCCTACCGTACATTCCTGTCCAGTGAACGCACGCAACGGCTACAATCTACTAGGGAGGCCGCCCTCAAATGTTACAATCCTGTAAATTTTCAACGCCGCTGACGCACCTTGAGGAAGACTCATTATTTCTATACAACGATGCTCGGCATGAGACTGAGGTAACTAATAATAACAATGACCATACTTTATCAACCGTCGTATTTCCAACAATTTCTTCACACAGACAGAATGCGACTGAAATTTTGATTTATTGCCCAGCTAAAATGAAGGAAATTTATCAACATTTATTATGCTCATCCTTTTCGGTCATTCTGGCAACTGAAACAAGCTGGGACGAAAGCGTAAAAAGTGCAGAAATCTTTGGAAATGCCTTTAATGTATTCAGAGACGACAGAAATTCTCATGCAACACAGAAGAAGTCAGGTGGTGGAGTTCTTATAGCTCTTTCGGCCAATTTTAACTCAGAACTCATCTTTACACCAAAATTTACAGAATTTGAGCATATTTGGGTGAAATCACACATAGCCGGTGAAACGCACGTGTTCGCCTCAGTGTATTTTCCACCAGACCATGCTCATAAAAGCACTTATGAAGCCTTCTTCCAAAGTGCTGAACAAATTCTATCTGACCTTCCTCCTGAGGTTAAAGTTCACATCTATGGAGACTTTAATCAACGCCATGCTGACTTCATTCTGGACTCTGAATATGAATGTATCTTACTCCCAGTCGTTGGGGATAATGAAACATTGCAGTTCATTTTTGACAAAACTGCTAATTTAGGACTGACCCAAATTAACCACATCAAAAACCAACAAAATTGCTATTTGGACTTTTTACTAACGAATATTTATGAAGATTTCTGTGTGACCGAATCATTAAATCCACTGTGGAAAAATGAAGCGTTTCACACAGCAATTGAATATTCTTTATTTATGCATGAAAACCAAAGACCCAACGACTGCGAATACAAAGAAGTCTTTGAATACAAATTAGCAGACTACGAAAAAATAAAATTTAAATTAAACAGTGTCAATTGGCAATTAATTTTAAGGAATGTAGGAAATGTCGAAATTGATATAGACGTGTTCTACAAAATTTTAACAGAAATAATTTCGGAAGAAATACCTTTGAAGAAAAAAAGACGTAACAGAAACACACAAAATCCAGTCTGGTTTAACAGACAATTAAAAAACTTGAAAAATCGGAAGCAAAAAGCACATAAAATTTATAAAAAAATACAATAGTAGTAATAGTTTATTAATTTATTTGGATCTATGCGATCAACTGAATTTAGCTATCAGTACTGCATTTGAAGAATATAATGCAAAAACTGAACGTGAAATAAAGTCCTGTCCGAAGAACTTCTTTAATTACGTAAAAACGAAATTAAAATCTGACAATTTTCCTTCAATAATGCACCTAGACGAAAATGTCGGTGATAGTTCGGAAAAACTGTAATCTATTCGCAAAATTTTTTCAAGAAATTTATACGACATTTTCTGAAGAAGATCGTGACCGCGATTATTTTGCATTTTATCCAGAATTTTCAAGGGACATTGGCCTCAATCAACTTCAAGTGCAGGACACTTTGCAGGCTTTAAAAAATTTAGATGCCTCAAAAGGTCCTGGACCTGACGGAATTCCTCCAGTATTTATTAAATGTCTAGCAATGGAACTCACTGCTCCATTGTTTTGGCTTTTTAATATGTCCCTGGAATCCGGAACCTTCCCTAAAATTTGGAAAAGCTCATTTCTAGTACCTATCTTTAAATCTGGTCGAAAATCTGACGTACGTAATTATCGTGGTATAGCCATTATCTCTTGCATTCCTAAGCTTTTCGAGTCAATTATCAACGAAAAATTATTTCTCCAAATCAAAAATAGAATTACTGACATGCAACACGGCTTTTTCAAGGGTCGCTCGACCTCGACAAATTTACTTGAATTTATAGACTATTCATTGAATGCAATGGATAATGGAAACCACGTAGAAGCTCTCTATACAGACTTTAGCAAGGCATTTGACCGCATTGACATACCAATGTTACTCTTTAAACTGCAATAAATTGGAATTAAGTCAGGGCTCCTGAAATGGCTTGAATCATATTTAACTAACCGCCAACAAATAATTAAATTCAACGGAAAGAAATCGAGCCCAATTCAAGTCACTTCAGGCGTCCCCCAAGGCTCTCATTTGGGACCTCTCCTTTTTATTCTATACGTAAACGACATATCTTACATTCTCAAAAAACTTAAATTGCTTATTTATGCCGACGACATGAAGCTCTTTTTGGAAATAAGAAATGAAGAAGACATCAATATATTCCGGAATGAAATACACATATTCTACATATGGTGCAAAAAAAGTCTACTAGAGTTGAATGTAAAAAAATGTAACTTAATATCATTTAGTAGAAAAAGAACAACTTCAAACATTTCAATTGCATTAGGAAATCAAACTGTAGACAAATGTGAAAGAGTTAGGGATTTAGGAATTATCTTAGACTCTAAGCTAACTTTCATAGACCATTACAATACAATTATTCACAGGGCAAATAACATGCTAGGCTTTATCAAGCGCTTTTGCTATAACTTTCAGGACCCTTACACAATTAAAACACTATATATTGCCTATGTGAGGTACTGGAATATTGCAGCATTGTATGGTCTCCATTTTCAATCACGCACGAAGAAAGATTAGAACTCGGATTAGAATCAGTACAAAAACAATTTCTATTATACGCTCTTCGTAAATTAGGTTGGACTTCATTGCCTCTTCCATCATATGAAGCACGCTGCACACACCAAATTTCTTAAATCTTGTTCGGTACTTTTTTTTGCTGGATTCGTTCTGTAAAATATAAATTTTACCGAAAACTTTGTAAAAGTATTGATTTACCAATTTTCCGCAATCAAAACTGCTGAATTTCCGTAATTTATAGAAATCTACCGAAAACTGTAAATCAAAATTACTGATCTAAATCGTAAATTGCTACAATTCCGCAATACTGTAAACATTGTGACGAATGTGCTGTAAAAATAATCTTTTACAAAAACAAACAGCAGTAATGTACCAGACTTTTGTAAAAAATACAGAACAGATTTGCAAACTTCACACTGTAAAGCTTTGCTGTCATTTTGAAGTTGAGTGTTCTTTAGCTATCCTTAGTGAATAGTAAGACGTTACTTTTTTCCTATAATCCGTCCAATTTACATCGAAAGTATAAATTATATAATGCTTCTTCATTTCTTGGACAATTGCTTTCAGACGACATGGACATTAAATGGCCAAATCTCACACACAAACCTCGTCCCCAACAGCAAAAAGCGAATTTGTGCACGGTTCGCTACTGGGTCGCTAACCACGGTCAGGTTCTTACTTTATATACGGATGCACGATGAAAATGTATGTTTATAGATAATAAATAGATGATTAGTCAAATAAATGATTAATCAATCAATAAAAATCATGTTATTAATGATTTATTCAGGCAAATTAAGTACAGCCATTCGGTAAAAATTATACCGAACGCTATATTGCAAACTTCACCGATCATTCAGCAAAATTTACAGTCCTGGTCCGTACATTTTGACAGCTCACAAAGTGAACAAAATTTACCGAACGGATTGTAAATAAAAAAAATACCGAATAGATTACCGAATGTTCAGCTGTTCCATATTCGGTAAAAATTACGGTATACTGTAAAAAAATCTTAGTGTGTACCGCTTCGCTGTTCTTGGTCCCAGATTAAAACTCATTCATATATCATCATTGCAAGTGATTTTTAACAATTTGGCATATGTTATCATTATATAATGTCAAACTTTTGTATCCACTAACTTTTCGGCACAAATCAACAACACAAACCATATAGCCAAAAAAAAAAATTACACGTTTTACCTTTAAATTTCAATTACTGTAAACGTTTCTATTTCTACTTGTCGATAGTTGTCTACCTACAATCTTACACAAAGACGATGACAATCAAAAACAACTACTCGTCTTACCCTAGTCGAGCGTGACGACCGGTATAATTCCGGGTCCTGTTCCTCCACCGCTATTCAACATACTCAACGCACCATTCCCATTGGCAGCCGGAAGTCCTCCCCCCATTGGCAGTACCACCGTCGGCACTCCATTCCCATTAGCATTGACATTCGGTCCGTGGGGCACCACCGGACCACCACCCCCTAGCCCATTGACCATGTTTACGTTCGAAATGGTCGGGTTTCTCAACTCCGGCCCAACAAACATCTGATGGTACAGATGACCGATGTTGGGCAACTTCTTCTGCATAGTGTTCCTCAAAGGATTTGTATACTGCGGTGGGGGCCGAGAGGTTTGCGGATCTCTCCAATGAAATCCGGTGGGATCGCACACGAACAGCACTGGGGACGGGACGTAATCCTTCATGTAGTTCCAGACACATTCCTTCAGAACGTAGATGACCTGTAAAGAGGCAGCAATGGCAGTATGTATTTGTTATATAGCTTAAACGAATTTGGGGGATCTAACCTCATTTGCATCCAGGTACGGCAGTACAATGTGCAGATAGCTGAGTGGAGGAGGAAGCAACTGTCCGAGGGCCAGCAGTTCCAGCAATTTGGTCGTCACGAACATCAGTTCCGTTTTCTGTCCGTTCATCGTTTCGGCGGACTTCGACCGCCACTGGTGCAGAGCCGAAGCGCACAGAGCCCTCAACAGGACCGAACTGTAGCACAGAGCTGGTCTATAACAAGCGATCAAACCGAGAATCGACCACAAGATAGGACTATTACGGAACATTCGTCGAATCTGCAGGTCTCGCTCCATGGTCACCTTGGTGAACTCCTCCTCCGGCCAAGGCAGCCCATTGTACATCACATCGGGTGAGACGAGCTCAACCAACAGCAACGAAACGTAGCTGAATCCATCGATCGTATTTTGATGCTCCAAATCCTGGCAGCATGCCACAATGGCACTAATTAACCGGTTCTGCATTTCTGTTTCTGGACCATCGGGCTTCTTGAACGGGAGCTTTGGTCCTTGCCCAATAACCCCCGCGTGCAGTACAGTCGCCCTAGAGGCATTCATCGTTATTCCTTGTTTCTGATTCAGCCTTATGAGCAGCTCGTCCGGTTTGCCATAATCGACGGTATCCGGTTCCGTGTGCGACCCAAACAAATGTCCATGTAGATAGAGAGCACCTTCTAGAATATCCCTCAGCGCAGCGGTCCGTGCTGCTTTCCTAGTGGCACAATGTCTCGACAGGAGTTGACAACATCGGTGGTGGTTCGTATCGCCCTCGGAAGTGAGATTTCCTTCGTTGGAAGCCTGTTCCAAGCAGAAGAAGAAGTACCTTACGGTCAGTTGGGACAGCTTTAACGTTTCTGACATATTCAGAACGAAGGCTTTGGAACTAAGTTCCATGCAGTCGATGAGTTTAGCTAGCATGTGGATTTGATCGGACTTGGAGGTGATGCTGGGCGGTGGATGGAAGATAGCGCTTGGACCTTCGCCTGTGTCCATCGATTCCGTCCCGCCATCTTCGCGCTTGACTTTTTTGATTTCGTTCTGGAAAATGAATGTTACAATCACCAAGCCGAAATCCAAAGCCCAAAGAAGACTTACCTGAATTCCCACTGTGGACGATTGTATCGATTGTTGTAGGGGTAGCTTCTCCTGATTCATCAACATCTCCCAAATGGCCAGCAACTTTCCAAGCAGCTCCTGCAACATCCCCACGCAATTCATCTTCTTAAGATGCACATTGAACGAATCCCGCTCCAATTTGACAATTTCAACTAAATTCTTCAGAACGTTCGAATTTTCCCGATTCCGTCCCGGCGTTAATAACATCTTATCCAAGGCAATCTCGAAGCCAGGCTTAATTTTCGGCAGCTCGGACGAACCGTGTGGTCCTCCGAGCAACCGAACCAGTGCATTGAGGTGTGGCTTGCTGGCATTTGCTTCCGTTCCTGAAGAAGCTGCCAACATTTGGGCGATCGATTGATGCAAAAAGTAGGACGATTTTAGACTAGCTAGCAAAATCGAACGGACTGCGCTCTGCTGTAGCAGGGCAGATTCGCTAAGACACGATCGCCACAGCAGTTCTTTGGAGCTTTCTTTCGTGGCATCGTCCAACAGCGGACAGGTTCGCTTTTCCAACACGATTGCTTCCAGCTCGACAAAGAGCATTTCCAACAGTTCCTGACACCAGGAAAATTTCTCCGCTATTCGAGGTAGAGTTAGTAGAACTTGGATAGAGGCCTTTTTGATCTTCAACAGCAGACCGGCTACGATGTGAATTATGTTAGTGGTGCTGTAGCTGTTGGGCCAAAATTTACTTTGCGTTTTGATCAGCTGGAGATGGCTGTCCGTATCTTAAAAATGAAAAAGAAAGATTCAAAACCCAATCCCAAGCGTCACTGTATTAACTTACAATTTTCTAAAAACACTGCAGCTAGCGCCTGAGCCAGGATATCCGAGTGCTTCGAAAGATGCAACAAATAGGGAACCACCAGCTTGTTCATCGTTTCCTTCTGGCAAATTTCCTTCAAAGATTGCTTCAAATCTTCCTCATTTGCAGCGGCCAAGTAGCTCAGCACTTCCACTTCGGAATCAACCTGGTCATATTCCCCGGTGAACCGTTTCAAACCGCAGTACAGCATCTTTGAAATCACCTTCGAGGGAAAGCATCCTCCCAGTCGGGCCACCACCCAATCAAAGTGCGGCGAATACTGAGCGAACGTATTCAACAGTCCGGTGATGCAAGCGTCTACCTCCTGCTCATTCAATTTGCTGAAACAGAGCGCGGTTAACCCTACCAAGCAACGAATAGCATTGCAACCGAGCCACAGGTTGCACGACGTTCTAATATCCAGTTGCCTTCTGCGGCTGTTCTTGTCGCATATCTCTCCCAGCAACCTCAAGCACCACGACGAGATCAAAGGTGACCACGCCGGTGGCCCATTAGTCACCAACCGCTCCAACGTTTCATGTATCTCCTGGATTGCATCGTCGTCCTGGGATGCATCTGGAATATTTTTCTAAAACAACGATGTTTATTAATTTAAAAAAAATGACAACATCTAATTCAAACCTACCTCCACATTTATCAGGTAAAGTTTCACGGCTCCATTGAAGACCAGGGAGAAGTACTCGAAGACGGCTTCCCGAGTCGACGGGAGATCCTCCAGCAGGTGCAGACTGCACTTGACGAGGGCGGCCGAGTCTTTCAGCGGGATTCCTTTGTACAACAGCGAAACGCTATTGACAAAATACTGCAATTCCGCGAGAACGGGTTGTTTGATCATCGTGCTGGGATCGTAAATCTAAATTTGTCAGATTCCGTGGAAAACCAATGAAAAACTAAGGAAAATCAGGAAAAAATCGTCGGTTGTTTACATGCACTGGTTGATGTGCCTCCGCGTAAGCGTTTTGTCGTGAAAAAAGTTTGATTTGACGTTTCTCGGCATTTTCTTCTCACACGCGTTTCGTAATCATGGGCGTCGTCGCTGGTGGGGGTTATTGATCACTATGTGACAAGGGGTGGCTGGAAGATTTCCGCTATGTAAACTCAAATGATTTTCAAATCTAAAGCTGATTAAAAGTTACGCTAAATCGCAACTCTCCTGACCATGTGTTGGAAAACTCGCGTGCGAATCTGGTAAACAAATCTTACGCTTGAGATTCTCATGTATTTTCACGCACTGATACACGCAACCAAATTTTGTTCATATAAATCAAAAATATATTTTCATTATATAAAAATATGAATAGTTCAAAGTAAATTGAGAACATGTTTTCCACAAAAATATGTATATTTGAATTATAATCAAAAGCAAGCATGTTTATTTCAACAGGGTGAACAATTTTCAGCGTGTCATTTTTTCCTTGTTGTTTAAATTCGGAAAACTCAACCGAAAACCTGGGGGGGGGGGGGGTACGTGCTGTCAAATCAACCTACTGATCATTCTTGTATGAAATTGGTTCCAAACGCAAACAAACCCAGTATGTTTCTCATGGCTTGTTTACGTTTGCAACCAATTGGGTTCTTTAAGGGTAAATGTATATTCGTAATCTGCATTAAAAATTGAACCCAAACCCAAAATTTCATCAATTTTGGTACACTGGAACTATTTTAAATAAGTACGATTACATTTGCAAAAATCGCTCGGTGTCACTTTGTATGGGAGTGAGCTGTCAGTTTGTCAGTTTAGTGTCAAACAGTGAAGTTATTATTTAGCTTTAAATCATGATTTAAAAATCGAGATGAAAGTGTATGGGTGTGAAAAAAATATCACTGTGCTCAGAAAACGAAGCTCTTTCAGATGATATATAAAAACCGATATATTTATCAAAATTAAAGAACCCGTAACCAATTCGTATTTGACAGCCACCTCCCTCTGCAAGCGGCGAAACCGATGGTTTTTTAACAAGCTTGTATAAGGTGATCGGTAATCGAAATTTAGTACAAATTATTAAAATAATTAGTGAATTTTGAATTACTCAGAAATTTCAATGTAATAAAATAATTGTGGGTAATTTATGGGTGATTTCAGTTTACCTATATTTTCGTTGTTTGTGTGTACTGCTTGGTAAATAATTTGGTAATTTTAAAGATAATATAAGATTCGAGTAATTCTATAAATATTTGTACCCTGGAATAATCATTTTCTTTATTATTCTATGAAAATTTTATGATTTTAGTTGTTTCAGGTATACTTTATTATTGAATTAGCGGAAATCTTTTTTTTTTTTGTTTATTAAGGACATTTGACATCTCCGTGATGCATTCATGTCCGTTCGATTTGTTGTTTGGTGTATTGTGTATGGTGTGCAAGTGTTTTTGTTAGTGTAAGTGCTACAATTCAGTTGCTTCTCTCTTCTTTTCTTCTTTGCTTCCAAACAATTACATTTCTCCTTCGCTTCACTTCATACTACCATAGAGGTAACTCTAAGGCTAGAAGGTCCCGAAATAACGTGCTCAACATTTTGGCTCACCTCTGGTACTCTCTTCGGTCCCAAGCTAATCGATTCACCCCTCGAAACATAGAAAAAACCAATAACCCCTCATTTTATCTGTCAAACTTTCATAGCGAATCAAAACAAACATTGCGTAGTACTAGAATTTCAACTAGAATGGGCTACGTTAATCGTTTGCTTGGGACCAACAGGCTAGTCAAGTAATGAGCCAATTTAAAATCGTTAGTTTCGTATTGATTGTTGATACTACCATAGAGGTAACTCTAAGACCACTGGGTCCCGAAGAAAATCATTATTATTTTTGGCTCACTCAGTACCAGAACAACGGTCCCAAGCAGTCCCAAGCTATTTCACTCACCCCTGCATGTTCTGCATGAATCCACACACCCCTGATGTTATCTGTCAAACTTTCATAGCGAATCAAAACAAACATAGTGTAGTAATAGAATTTCAACTAGAATAGGGTACGTTAATCGTTTGCTTGGGACCAATAGGCTACTAAAGTGGTGAGCCAATTTAAAATCGTTAGTTTCGTATTGATTGTTGATACTACTCTCCTACTTCGCTTTTCTTCACGAATTGCTTTATCTTTCTATCATCTTTACTATAGATACTATAGATTCCATAGATAAGCGGAGGAAAAGTATAATGTAGCCAAACGAACTGTCAGTTAGTGTAGCCAAACGAGCATGACGTCATCATGGTGTTGTTTGAGGGAGAAGTATTGTAATATTATGAGCACAAAACGCTTTCCACACTCCACATTCCGATTTATTTCGCGGACAATGGAAGGAGAAAAGATAAAGCAAACCATTCCTCGATACATTATTGCAAAGATTTGCTTTGTACTTCATTTTGAACTTTTACGCACGAAACAAAACAAAACTGCACAACGAAGAGCTCTATGATGGCATGAACTTTTTCACGGATGCCAGTAAGATCATTTATTTTTCATGGTTGCCGAAACAACTTTTTGTGCCTCCGCTTATCTATGGAATCTATAGTATCTATAATCTTTACCTGTGTAATTTGTTATTCTATAGTCTTTTAATTTGTTATTCTAGTCTTCTACTTCGTGTTTTTTAATCTTTCTTTCACCTGTGCAATTTGTTATTCTAAAGTTCTTGTAATTTGTTATTCTAGAGCTTTTTGTACAAATCCGTTTCATGTAGGAAATTAAGCATTCGTGTTGTTCTTTCTTCCGTGTTGTCCAGAGGAAATCTTAGCTATTTAAAAATGAAAATCTGAAAAAATCGGGACCACATTATGCAACCAAATCGAATCGACTTTTTCATATTAGCGGTCGAGTTAGCGCTATGAAAAATGATCGGAAAATGCTTCGTTTCGATCACTCCAATGAGGCTTCAGTTCTTTACGAGGTTCTTTATGAAGGAAATGTAAATATACGTATACGAATAAAATATTGTATCTATAGAGATTGTCATATCCGGTTGAATTGGTGCGATATGTGAGAGCGTGCTAGCAACCAGTGGAAACTAACGGTTTTAAATTGGCTCACTACTTGACTAGCCTATTGATCCCAAGCAAATCGAGTAACGAACCTCATTCTTGTCAAAATTCTAGTACTACACTATGTTTTTTTCAAATTCACATCCTTGATCGTCATCCACATCACCTATCTAAAAGAGTGTGATGTATATGTCCGACTTCGATCTCAAAAGTACTTCCTCAGCCGTCAAATTCTCATGCTTGAGATCCTGGCTCAAACCAGTAAAGCCATAGAGGTAACTCTAAGACTAGTAGCATAGAGGTAACTCTAAGACCACTGGGTCCCGAAGAAAATCATTATTATTTTTGGCTCACTCAGTACCAGAACAACGGTCCCAAGCAGTCCCAAGCTATTTCACTCACCCCTGCATGTTCTGCATGAATCCACACACCCCTGATGTTATCTGTCAAACTTTCATAGCGAATCAAAACAAACATAGTGTAGTAATAGAATTTTAACTAGAATAGGGTACGTTAATCGTTTGCTTGGGACCAATAGGCTACTAAAGTGGTGAGCCAATTTAAAATCGTTAGTTTCGTATTGATTGTTGCTGGTACTATCTTCGGTCCCAAGCTAATCGATTCACCCCTCGAAACATAGGAAAATCCACTAACCTCTCATTTTATCTGTCAAACTTTCATAGCGAATCAAAACAAACATTGTGCAGTACTAGAATTTTGACTAGAATAGGGTACGTTAATCGTTTGCTTGGGACCAATAGGCTAGTCAAGTAGTGAGTCAATTTAAAATCGTTAGTTTCGTATTGATTGTTGATAATATTTTGTTTGCGTAAGCAACAAGAAAATATTGTAAAGTTTGTGTTTGACACATAATACCTGCCAATTTTGCTGTGTTTGACACATAATACCTGCCAAAGGGGGAGTTTGGTAAAGAGAGATGAAAAAACCGATTTGTACCTTCCTTAACAGTTGTCCTAGCTTGCTATTCTAATATCTATATACAATCTTCACACTGCCGTACTCTAACGGAACTATCAACTCTATGCTTTCATCTACTCCATCTATCGTATAAAAATTACCACTACAGTCTGTTATTTGAAATTAGCATCTTCAACCATAGAGGTAACTCTAAGACCACTGGGTCCCGAAGAAAATCATTATTATTTTTGGCTCACTCAGTACCAGAACAACGGTCCCAAGCAGTCCCAAGCTATTTCACTCACCCCTGCATGTTCTGCATGAATCCACACACCCCTGATGTTATCTGTCAAACTTTCATAGCGAATCAAAACAAACATAGTGTAGTAATAGAATTTCAACTAGAATAGGGTACGTTAATCGTTTGCTTGGGACCAATAGGCTACTAAAGTGGTGAGCCAATTTAAAATCGTTAGTTTCGTATTGATTGTTGCTTCAACTATCTCTCTTCAGTTATCAGTCAATAATTGACGTGATAATTATTATCCGCTCCTTCATTCATACACAGTTGCAGATATTCTAGAGGCTAAATTGTCTGTTTTTTCAATTGCGAGAGTGAGTGTTACTTCCATGTCCCGATCAGTTTTCTGTGGAATCCTCGGTGGAATCCTATACCGATTGCTGGAGAGAGATGTTTCCTTCAGAAAAAAAAAATCAACAAAAATAAAAAAGGGCATCAAACGAATGAAAACATTCTTGGTTCTAGGCAGTGCTGTCAGAAAAGCTTGAAAAATTGGTTCTCATGGTCAGAGCTTAAAACTATTGACTCCCTATGCTGAGTGTGAAAGCGCTGCACTATTCAATCCATTGCTCTGTGCAGACCATTTGTACCAAACGGTAAAGGACGAGGCAATGAAAGAGCCAACAAAAACATTCAGTCACTCACGAGCAGGCGACACACACCGCTTGCCTTCGCTCACACAGCATGTAATTGAGTCATTTTTCCATAGAAAATGTACGCTCAGTCATTCAAAACAAATATTGGGTACCATCACGGCAGAATAAACGTGTTGACTGAGCTACTGACTGAGTTCTCGGCTGTCAGTGGCTCGTTTACCTCTGAATCATTCAGACTCTCACGAATGACATCAAGATGCCTAACCGAAGTCGATTTGGTTTCAACAAGTTTTCAATCCGACAAGTTGGCTTACTCAGATCGGGCTTTTCCGCTGCCGTTGCCGTTCCGCTTCCGCTGTCATTGCGCTTGGGCCTTAACGGGTTTACTTCCCTTCCTTACCTCGGCTGGGAATGAACCCAGACACATTGGGGTGAGAAAGCAATTACGCTTACCACTACACCACCGGCGTCGGCAAGTTTGCCTTTCAACGTTTCGGTTTGCAAGTCGGCGAGGGACTCTCCACTCCACTACACAAAAACACACAAATTCAAACCGACGACCACTGACCACACACCGAAAAGCGAAAACGCGCATCAGCGACACAAACAGTCTCGGTCGATTGCTCCGACAGTCGCTAGATGAGCTAGAGCTACTTTATGATAGAAACCCACAAAAGACATAGAAGATTGTTCGAAGATTTTATGTAATGTTCCAATCATCTTCTCAGGGTTTGGCGAAAATGTAAAAATGCTTAAGGAAAACAGGAAGAGTACTTCAGCATTTTTACCGAGATATCTTTTGCGGATTTCTATCAGCCATGTTATGTTATGAACCCCGTCGCATGCACAATACAAGATAGCATAGAGCCCGCCAAGAAAATACCAATTTTGTAGACAACGATTTAGACTTGAAGAATGCTTTAAAACCTCGATAAAACTGGCCGGTCTTGAACGTGTGTGACTGGAAGCGATTGGCTCAGGATCGAGTCCAGTGGAAAAGAATTCCCAGTTGAGCGGGGTTCTCTACAATTGAAACGACATATTATTTAAAAGTTACTGGATTTATTTCAGTACAGTTATCTTGAATCACACAAAACTCTTCCATCATCCTTCGTACAAACTACTTGGAACATGTACAGAAAACAGTTAGGAGTATCCTAGAATGCTACCAATGTCTAAATTTTCCTTCATGTTGCTAGTTGATAACCTGGTTGCTCGTTGATTCGCCATTAGTTACAATTTCCTGTTTGTGTACCTTTCAAAAAAACGCTGACTAGAATTAACGATTAACGACTGCTGCGCGCTGCTTGACACCTAACAATCAGAACTGCTATTACACAAGTATATTGAGATATTGATTGTGACCTTCCATAGCTGAAGGAATGCGCGTGAGATGCGAAGTAGAAAGACGAGAGCTTAAAATATATTCACAAAGTTGTTCCTAAACAGGTTAATATCATCGTATTTGTTGCGCTGCTGTTGATAGTGGTGGTACTCTTCAAAGTAGGACAGCTGGTGATGATGATGCGGTGGCGGTGGGAATGGTTTGAAGTTGAAGCTGTTGTAGGAATTGCTGGCGCTGGTTCCGACAGGGGAAAATGGCATGCTGCTTCCGTAGTTGGAGCCTGTCGATGTGCTTGTCGTTCCCGTGGCGGTCGGAGCACCTACACCAACGGATTGTACGGCTGCCGGGGCCATCAATGCAGACGAAGTGCGACTGTAGTGATGGAGCGCGTTCTGAGGAGATTGGCCGTAGGGGTGCGTAAAAGACCCCGGAGGAAGAGGTGGAGGCGGTTGCTGCGTTTGTTTCTGCTGTCATGTCATGAGAGCCTGTCCATTTGTTCCATGAACGCGCATATGGCGGTTAAGGTTGCCGGACTGGGAGAACCTAGAATTAAAGGAATGTATTGAAATCAAAGCGAACCGTCGGTTTTGACAGTAACCTACCTCAGCAAGCACAGCTTACACTGATAGGGTTTTTCGCCGCTGTGTATTCTCAGATGCTTGGTAAGTGTGGAGCTGTCGCTGAAGGCTTTCTTACAGGCCCGGCAGCGATAGGGTCGCTCTCCAGAGTGAGTGCGCATGTGGGTTGTGACGCTAGAACTTTGCGAGAAACGTCGATCGCAAATCGGACACCGGAACGGTTTCTGCCCCGTGTGAGTGCGAATGTGAGCGGCCAAATTGGCAGCCTGACTGAAACTCTTGTTACAGTCCGAACACCGGTACGGGCGCTCCCCGGAGTGTGTTCGAAGGTGTGTTTTGAGCGTGCTTGGCCTGGCGTACGTTTTGCCACATAGCCGACAGAGGTTCGGCTTGTTGTCTCCGTTTTGACCGTCGCTGCCGCTTCCGTCTTCCTCCTCGTAGTTGATTCCCAACGACTTTTCCGTTTTCATTTTCAGTTGAAAATCGGTCTGTTCGTATTCCGGAGGAGTCTTTGGTGGCGAGTAGTCTGCCGCGTTCGGTTGATAGTACGATTTATGGTGGTGCGACTGTAAGCTGGAATTCTTTGAGGATTCCAGTATTGGTGATAGATTCTGCGTTTGATTTTGTGGCCTAAAGTCAGCGGTGAACGAGTAGGTAGCACCAGCCGGATACGGCACTGGACTGAGCAATGGTGGATACAGGACATTCACCGAGGATGACGGAGTCTGAGGACCCCACTGCATCTGGGAGCACTGCATTGGCATTGTTCCATCCGCTGCACCGTAACCGTGCATTGTCATGTTCATGCTAACGTTCACACTCATGCTCGGATAGATTGGCGTTGAATGTTGTGCACAAGACGTTTCGTAATAGTTCGAGGGATATGATCCACTCTGAGATTGAGCTTGACTGTAGTGCGAATTGTGATTGTGATGGCTAACCGGCGACAGGAGCATCTGCGGGTGGACGGTGTACGAAAGTGATGCCTGCGGAGGGGCAAAGCTGGGCGATGGTGCTTGGGGCAGCTGCTGCGGATCTGGGCTTTGCTTGAGGACGGCGTGTTTCAGCGACAACAGCACATCGGCCACGTCGTGGGTTGGACGTTCGGGTCTGCTGTTGAAGAGACGTCAAAAATGGAATTTTACTCTCTCGATATCAATTTAATATAATTTGAAGTTGAAGATATTGAATCGGTTGTAGAGAATAATGGAGCCGCATGGTCAGTAACAAGGATCGATGAGCTACGATTTCGCGGCCTACACTTTGTATTTTTTTAACAGCAAACTTGGGATCTGTTCCATGGACAACACAGTAAAATCTCATTTGTTAATCATAACATTTTTGTGGTGGATTAAAGAGCTTGGTATGTTCCAGAAAGTGGGGTGCCCTTAGCAAGATCATGTTGAGAAGTCTTCTCTTCTTGTTCGCATTTCAAGCTTATTGCTTAGGGCATATTAGCATATTGCGTGCTCTCAACTTAGTGTTCTAAATGCACTTCCACAGTTATTAATTGAGAGCTTTTGATGCCAATACCAATGCATGAATTTGTATATTGTGTGGCAAGCACAATGATACTCTATGCCCAGGGAAGTCGAGAAAATTTCCAACCCGAAAGATTCCCTCGACCGGACCGGGAATCGAACCCGCCGCCTCCGGCTTGGTAATACCGTGCCTTTACTGACTAGGCTATGAGGCTCCACACATGCTGAGAAGTGTGGTTGCGATTTTCGGATCGTTGAGAAATTTTTCAACGATTCTCGAGTACTTTTTCAAAAGGACTTATATAACACTTCCGCCATATTGAGTAAAACTAAGTTGAAATTCGACAGATTATTTTTTAAACAGTTATGAAAGAATACGTTCAAAAACACTTTTTTTTTGCAGTAGTCAGTGAATGATAATAGTGAACATTCAGAATTAATGGTAAAATCACACTTTTATTTTGGATTACGTGCTTTATTTTGAATTCCGTGCTACTAAGCTGTTGTAAGGCCCTTTACATGCGAACCTAAGTACATATTTACATTGGCTTAAAAAATCTTGAAGTTTGACACCGATATTGATATGGGTCATGTCCCAAATTGGCTACTTCCCCCGGGGAACCCAGAACCTGCTCCAGGTTGGCCTTCGCAACTTGTGATACTGAAAACGATTCTGGAGACATCGCGCTGAAAAATCATGAGGATTGACTGATGCAAAATTTAACATTTTCGGTGCACAGTGCTCAAACGGTTCCAAATCGGGTCCTGATTAACCTCCCAAAATTTGAATTCATTTGGTAAGAAACTGGCAAGACACAAACCGTTTAAAGTTTACATGGAAATTACTATGGGAAAACCAAATGTTTTGTTCATATCCATCTAACAATTCACCAGATCGGTTTGCTTTAAAAAATGATAACTGAGCTTGTAGCAAATTTTCCAACTACAACTTTGTTCCAGATCACTTTTCGATAGAAAGTAAGCATCAACAGTTATAATTGATTCAAGCCACTGATTTCTTATGATTATGCTCAATCAACTGTTTAGCAGGCAACCTTGGCGTTTCTGGCTCGTAGAATAGAGCACCAAAATCATGACTTCTATGTCACACTGCAGACAACAGTGTTGCCCACAAAACAGTTGCTTGATCATGCCATCATATTATCAATCTCTTAAACAATTAATAACTATTTTAATTGACGTTTGGCTTACAAACTAAAATCTGCAAAGTTGTAGCTTAGAAAATTTTCCATAAGAATAGCTATAGAACTTTTGATCTGTGCAATATAGAAAAATGCTACAAGACAACTAACGAAAAGTTTAAATTTCGTATAGTAATTTCCATACAAAATTCAAATGGTTTGTGCCTAGACAGTTTCTTACGAAATTAGTTCAAATTTTGGGAGGCTAATCAGGACCCGACTTGGGACCGTTTGAGCACTGTGGAGCGAGAATGTCAAATTTTGTATCATTCAAATACCCATATTGACGTGATTCAAAAGATTAACATTACTGGTCACTTTACCGGAACCGATTTCAAGGAAATTGACAAACCTCGGTTGTTTCGCAACAGATCTTGGATCTGTAGCCAGCATATAATAGCATAGCAGAAATAGTGCGAAATAGGTTAGTGAAGTCATGGTCACCAAAAAAGGAAATCGATGAAGAGAATTGACTTTCAACCCTCGGCTTCTAAGTCCCTTACTTCTGAAGGTGCGTGAAAGAGCCCGGCACGGCCGGTGTTGATGTTGGTTCGCTCGCAATTATTTTTGCAAAAAAAAATAAGTGTTTTCGACCGAAATTGATACCGAAAATGTATCAAAAGTGCTTCTGAACGTGTTTCGCAGTTGGATGTGATGAAATTCGTGCATTCCCGGTTGATTTTCAGTGGAAATTCCGTATCACAAAATTGCTCACTGAGTTCCTTTTTTTTTGCCGTTTGAAGATGACGGGTTTGCTTTCGCGAGTGACGTTTATTGGATCTGTTTCTTAGCACGGGTGTGTTTTTTGTAACCAGCGGTGTGCAAGTGTGCTTATCGGGTGGCCAGTTCACCGTGTTCGGATGTTACGCTTTCGTAAATTAGCTGGGGAAAGTGCTGATAATGTGTCCGCCGCGAGTTTAGCTAAAGTGTGACTGTATCAGTGATTGTTTTCATTGGGAAAATTTTCCGCTATGAAGTTTTTTTTTCCCGACGAAAACATTTTGCGTATATGTATACGTAACGTAGTGTGCGTACGATAAACGTCAGCAATCTCTAGTTTTAAATAGAAATATAGAAGCGATAAAGTTGACGTGCCATGCCATTTCTCTTTAAGTTGGAGGAGAGGGAGAGACGACTTGAGAAACGATTCTCGAACAGTTCTATTTCTCTCTTCATTTCTCTCGTGTCGCTCGCTCTTCTAATTTATCGGGTGGTGGTGGTGGTGGTGGAGGCCTCGCGCGTGGAGGAGAGAGAGTTATTATAGAGAAAGGAGAATTAGGATATCGGCATTCCATTGAAGTAAATAAGTGTGAAGAGTTTTAACAGCAAAAAAATAATTTTGATATCACATCAAAGTGGATGCACTACAATCATGTCGAAAATATGGTGTAATATTACTTGCTAAAAAGGACAAAATTATCATTAATACAATGCATGACATTACGGTGCTTTTACTGCATTTGTTTATTTATGTGGTTATAAAAATTACATGAAATTTTCGACACGATTGTAGCATAGAGGTAACTCTAAGACCACTGGGTCCCGAAGAAAATCATTATTATTTTTGGCTCACTAAGTACCAGAACAACGGTCCCAAGCAGTCCCAAGCTATTTCACTCACCCCTGCATGTTCTGCATGAATCCACACACCCCTGATGTTATCTGTCAAACTTTCATAGCGAATCAAAACAAACATAGTGTAGTAATAGAATTTCAACTAGAATAGGGTACGTTAATCGTTTGCTTGGGACCAATAGGCTACTAAAGTGGTGAGCCAATTTAAAATCGTTAGTTTCGTATTGATTGTTGATTGTAGTGCATCCACTTTGATGTGATATCAAAATAATTTTTTTGCTGTGAGGTTAAGGTGCTCATACACGGCATGATCCGGCGCAGCGTTTATGGTGGTGCGTCGTTTTTATTAAAATCATTTAATTAACATTAAAAAATTTAATTACCAGTTTTTAGGATGCTAGAAACCTAAAAAGTACCATACTCGAATGATGGACCAACTGATGGATCTATTCCACAGATAATTCCCTGAACACGTATTAGCGCTTTTCGGTCATGGGAGAGGTGGTCGTTTTGCTTTAAGTTTTATGTTTTACAGGTAATTGAAAACCAGCTATTGATGAGCAAACAACAGCAGTAATTTATAAAGCATTCATATTAATTTAGTTTTTTTATTGATGACATTATGCTTGATGGTGCCAAATCTTCCGCTTAATCGTATTATCTCACTAACTTTATTCATGTTTCTGCAGTATAGCACCTGTGGATTATGAGATGCTCGATGAAGGATCGATTTTGCTTACTGAGCAGACAATCATGGATTTAACCCCAAGCTCTTCCACAGCACAAGAAATCGCCACCAACATTTGTATATTTGATATTGAAAATTAACCTCGGAGATTATTTGCATATCATGCAAAAACGTAGTCCTGTATTGTCGCGATGCGTTATGCTTCTGAGATGCTCGATGACCCTGGAGGGATCGTTTTTGCTTACTGAGCAGAAAATCATGGGCTTAATCCCAAGCTCTCCGTCATGACTCTTAAAATTCATGTTCACTAAACAAAATGAATATGTTCTTTCGATAGCCGGCTATCGAGAAATTAAATAAACAACAAATAAACTATACATACTTTTGGTTGCATCGCCAACTTGAGGTGAATCCTAACCGAATACCCTACCCAACCCTCCAACTCCGTAGCACTTATGAGGGTGTCGCTAAGTCGGTGGCCTCTCGTTAAATAAGTACTACATCAACATTTCCTTCCCTATCCCTAGTTATGGTAAAGATGGGCGTGGCCGGGAATAGCGACAGTCATGCTTCTGTTACTCTTGTTTAGATTGGAATCAATGTTTACTCCCCAGCATTATTCCTGAAAGTAGTCTAACTGAGAATTTCAGAAGCGACGTGAGTGTCACTAGTATCCAATCTACGAAGTATATCATAACAACGCTAACGCTAATGTGTCCGCCGCGAGTTTTGGTGGTGATTCGGTGACCGACGTTGCCGTGAATCAGCGAGTTTACGGCTTGCAAAAGTGCTCGTCTGCTGGTCTCTCGCCAGTGTCGGAGATTGTGAGCAAGCTGAAGGATGCCTCGCTGGATACGCCCAAGACAAAACGGGCGGTAGCTGGTGGCCGTTAACGGTTCCTGGGGAAAACACTAGACGCGAACCTCCTCCCAGACAGTGCTGAGATTTGTCATTGTCATTGACAGACTTTCGCGCGATATTGACAAAATTGTTCGTCACATAGTCACTGACAGACTTGATCCTCAAAAAACCTTCGTCAAAATCTCATTCATTTTTTCGTCAATGACAAAGATTCACCTGGTAACAAAAAGTGTAATTTAGTACATTCTGTGTCACATTATTGTTATCCAAGTAGCTCAGGACGTAGATACTTGTTCATTAAAATTG